TCCTTAGGGAGGGGACCCTACCACAATTTATCCTGCAGTTGATAGACATTTGGGTTGTTTCTACTTTTTGGTTATTATGAATAATGCTGTGGTCAATATTCATATTTGAGTTTTTGTGTAGAGATACATCTTCATTTCTCTTGGGTAGATACCTAGGACTTGCTAAGCTATGTGGTAACTCTGTTTAACATTAAGAGGAACTGCCAAACTTTTCCAAAGTGACTGCATCATTTACATTCCAACCAGCAATGTATGAGGGTTCCTATTTCTCCCAAGTCCTTGTCAACACTTCTTATTATCTATCTTTTTTTAAAGAAAAAAAATTATTTTGAGAGAGAGAGAGAGAAATCACCAATGGGGGAGGGACAAAGAGAGAGAGAGTCCCAAGCAGGCTTCGTGCTGACAATGCAGAGCCCAACATGAGACTCGAACTCACAGACTGGACTGTGAGATCATGACCTGAGCCGAAATCAAGAGTTGGACACTCAACCAACTGAGCCACCCAGGCACCCCTCCATCCATTTTAAACTAATAATTAGTTTTTGTGTATGTATGACCTAAGGAAGGATCCAATTCACCCTTTTGTATGTATTCTTCCCCTCTCTTTGCCCCTCCCTCCCTTCCTTCCCCCCCCCCCCGTCAAAAATAAAATAAACATTAAAAAAAAGCATTCCCTCCCAGTCCCTGAGACATAGTAGAAGTGAAATAAATGTTGATTACATGAATGTTTTAATGTAGGCAGCCCAAAATCGGGCACATACGTTCTGGTATTTTTATTAACATAGCTCAGTCCCATTTCTTTGTTGTCACCCTTCCTGTGCATAGAAACCACACAGCAAAACGGCACAGTTGACAGTCCTTTAAGTCATCTTTAAGCAGCACTCTCTGTTTTTTTTTCTCCTTTTAAAATTGAGAGAAAGCTACAAAACAGTTCACTGTCATCCCCAGCACCATATTCAGAGCACTCCAGAAAAACCTGTGCAGTAGGAAGTTAGCAAAAGGAGATGCCGACATGTTCTGTATTGTGCTTGGGAGTGCGGCTGGGAACCCCTTGGTCTTGTAATCCCTTGTGTTACCTGATGTCTGCTCGAGTAGAAGGGAAGGGAGTTGCTGAAGGCAGGAAGGCTGGCAAGAAAAGTGGTGGGAAATCTGCAAACTTCAGGGCAGCCCAAGGCCATCTCCAAGGGCTAACCACCCTCGCTACCCGCAGCTTTGAGGCCTCTCAGTGCTCCATTCTGCATGCATGCGGGAGCTGGATCCCTAGTAATGGCCTGCAATATTCAGAGACTTTCAGGTCACTTGTGGTCCTAAGGAGGACAGGGTGTGAATCATAAGGAATTAAGTTCCTGGGTTTGTCTTTTAGGTTTTTGGGACTTCTGTGGATAAATCCTCAGATGGCCAATAAAACACCTCTAACCATCCAAATGGAATATTTCCCACAAGTTCTGTAGAGCTGTATTTTTGTGGTTATTCCATTTGCTGACTCTAAACTACTACTCCTTTTCCCATCCTCAAAAAAAAAAAAAAAAAATCAGAGGAAATATTCTTTTGTTAAGTATCAAAAATAGGTAATTACATTTCTATTAAAAATTTTTTTAATGTTTATTTTTGAGAGAGAGAGAGAGAGAGAGAGAGTGTGTGTGTGTGAGAGAGAGAGAGAGAGAGAGAGAGAGAGAAGGGGAAGGGCAGAGAGAGAGGGAGACACAGAATCTGAAGCAGTCTCCAGGCTCTGAGCTGTCACAGAGCCTGATTCAAGACTCGAACTCACAAACCGTGAGATCATGACCTGAACCGAAGTGGCCACCTAACCGACTGAGCCACGCAGACGCCCCTATATTTCTTTTCTTACTTTTGAACATTGTATCATAAACATAATGTTTCTGTCTCTTCAGCTTTCATTATAAAAGTGTTCCTGATCCTGTCGGCTCAGTTGGTGGTCACTGGGGCGATTATCAGCGTGTTTATTTTCTGGTAAGTCTTTGTTACTGATGTAAATGAAATATTAAGTTGTTCACATTAATTCTTATCGAATCAACTCAATTTTGTTCATTAAAAAATATCTATTTTTTCTTAATCATTCATAGGATATAATATCTCTATAGCTTTGTTGTTTCTGAGGCAACTCTTAGACCAAGATTTCCACAGTTTTACTTCAACTTCCTAAGCCAAGATCTTTTTGTCTTAGTCTTTTTGGGGCGCTATTTCATTTTCTATTTTTCCTGGCTATTTCCACAGATGAAAGTGGATAAAGGAAAAAAGGTGAGATTATGGAGGCCTTGGAGACTTGGAATGTTGAAATTATTTCAGGGACTATGACCCATCACTGCTTAAACCTATCCTGTGAAAATCTCTATTTACAAAACAAATATATGAGAAATTGATTTTCTTTGCTTTGTACACTTAGCAGTATTTTTTAAAAATAAAAATGTCACCAGGACATTTGCATTCATACAAATTTAACTTACAACTTATTATGACTATCTTTTTATAAATATATTTTAAGAAGCAAGGTATGGTTATATGTTTCACCATTTAACTCCTCATTTATCATTGCCAATGATTAAGGGTTTACCCCTTTCCCATGAGATTGTTTTACTTCTACTGAAATATTACATTAGTTAGAAAAATAAACAATTTATCATTTAAAACTATATTATTTTTTAACCAGGAAGGGTTTAAAAGCTTGGGTGCTCATGAATGCCTGGTTCACCTATGCAATCTTGTAAGTATTCTTGGATTTAATAAAATGTGTTTTTTTTCTATTAGCTATTGACTGAGGTTCTTTATTAAAAATTAGGTGAAGGTATAACATTCTTGAAATGATAAAATCCTAGAGATGGAAAACAAGCAACTTAGTGGTTCTAAGGAGCTAGGGTGTGTGTGTGTGTGTGTGTGTGTGTGTGTGTGTGTGTCTGTGTGTGTGTCTGTGTGTGTGTGTGTGTGGTGTACCATAAAGAGATGGCATGAAGGAGATCTTTGTTGAGGTTTTAATGATGGGATAGTTTCAAATCTTGATTGTGGTGCTGGTTACACATGTCTACTCATAGATTTGTGTCCAAGTTCTATGACATAGCATTATATATACCTTGTACCAATGTCAAATCACTGGCTTTGGTATTATACTATATTTATGTAAGATGTAACCTTTGAGGGAAACTGAGTAAAGGATGCATGAGACCTCTGTCTCTTGGCAACTTTTTGTGAATCTATAATTATTTCAAAATAAAATTTTTTTAAATTCTGTGGATGAAAATAAGAAAAGTTAGTTTTAAAAGCTAAAAAAAAAAAGAAGTAAAGGTAATAATCTGCATGCAGTTTTGTTTATAATAGTGATTATCAGATAATAACGTATATTTCTGTCTCTATTCATCTACCTGTATCATTTGATAAAATCACTGGAAACAAATAACACATGGCTTTCAATTACCCTCAGGCCAGCATTTTTTGGTGTACTTATTGTATTTGCTTGTTGTGGGAATCTCCAGCGTCAGGTGCCTGTGAATTACATTCTCCTGGGAGTATTTGTAAGTAAACTTTGTTAGCATGTGTTGTTAGCTCACCTGTGAAATATATTTTTGACACATTATTAATTCTGCCTCTATCGTGGAAAATCTTCTTGTGGAATAATAGAGATAGAAATTATTTGTGAGATGTCCTCTGGGCTCAATCCTGGCTGTAACAAAGTCATAAACTTGTTTATGAGATCGTATCCATGCCCTTTTACTAAAGCTAGAGAATCTGGGGACACTGAGCAAGTCATTATTGCCAGCGACCTTGCCTCTGGGAGGCCACGTGGGGAACATGCTCAGAATCCAAGCTCCATTTCAGGAACAGTTAACTTGACTGTTAATGGCCCTCTGCCGAGCACAACAAACACATTCTGTTATGGAGAGTGGATTCCACATTTAGTTCACAAACTCATGTGTTTGAAGTATACTTTATTTTTGTAAGAGTTCTCTTATTTCTATTTCAAGTCTCACTGGGTGCAGAAACCCAGGTCAGCATAGGTTCCCTTAGTTCCCCACCTTGCACCTCTGGCTTTTCCAGAAAGTTGGGGGTGAGGCTGGGGCTTCTGGTCCTGGGCTCTCCTCATTTCAGCACGGTCTGGTTCCTGTTTCACCAGCGCCTCCTGTGGGGCTTCCACTCACAAGGTCTCACCACATAGGTCCTTTCTTTGTGGATCAGTGCTGCTCTCTCTGGGTCACAGAAAATGTGTGGCTCCTTTTCTTGTAGCCAGTTCCTTTCTGTGCTGCCCACAAGGATTCCAGGAACTCAACACCCTTCCATTGTGAAGATTTATGTACCAATTGATTTATTCCTCATCTGGTTCCATGTGAGTTTTGAGGCAGCTTATAAAAACACCCACAATATAAGAGGATAAGATAAACTGGTAGGGAAATCTGATGAAAGGAAAAATAAGGGTAGGAAAATAAAGTCAGTGGTTAGTGTACAAAATGCATATGCTCCCTGAATAGCCAAAGCAATCTTGAGAAAGAAGAACAAAACTGGAGGTATCACCATTCCAGATTTCAAGATAATTCTAGATTTCAAGATATGCTACAAAGCTATAGGAATCAAAACAGTATGATAGTGGCTCAAAACAGACACATAGATCAATGGAATAGAATAAATAAACCCACAATTATATGGTCAGTTAATCTATAAAGGAGACGAGAATATACAATGGAGAAAAGACAGTCTCTTCAACAAATGATGTTGGGAAAACTGGACAGCCATATGGAAGAAAGAATGACACTGGACTGCTTTCTTATACCATAAACAAAAATGAAATAAAAATGGATTAAATACCTAAGTGTAAGACCTGAAACTATAAAACTCTTAAAAGAAAACATGGGCAGTAAACTCTTGTAACATTGGCCTTAGCAATATTTTTTTGGATCAGTCTCCTCAGGCAAGGGAAACAAACAAACAAAAAATTGGGACTACATCAGATTAAAAACTCTTGCACAGTGAAGGAAACCATCGTCAACAAAACAAAGAGGCAACCTACTGAATGGGAGAAGATATTTGCAAATCATTTATCTTACAAGAAGCTAATATAGATCTATATCTTATCTATATAGCTATATAGATAGATACTCATACAAATGAAATCTTAAAAAATCTACCAAAAAATCATACCAAAAAAATCTAATTAAAAATGCACAGAGAATCTGAATAGACATTTTCCCAGAGAAGACATATGGATGGCCAACAGATGAATAGATGCTTAAGGTGACTAGTTACGGAAATGCATTGAGATGTCACTTCACACGAGTCAGAATGGCTAGTATCAAAAAGACAAGAAATAAGTGGTGGCAAAAACGGAGCCCTCTTGGCCTGTTGATGGGAATATAAATTGGTACAGTCACTGTGGAAAACAGTATGGAGTTTCTCCAAAAATTTAAAATTAGAAATACCATATGATCCACTAATTCCACTTCTGGGTATCTTCCCAAAGAATGAAAACACTAATTGAAAAAGATATATGTACCCTATGTTTATTGCAGCATTATTTACAATAGCCAAGATAGGGGGGCCCCTGGGTTGCTCAGTCGGTTGAGTGTGTCTAACTCTTGATTTCGGCTCAGGTCATGAGCCCAGGGTCGTGGGATCAAGCACCCCATTGGGCTCCGCGCTGAGTATGGAGTCTGCTTAAGATCCTTTCTGTCTCCCTCTGCCCCTCTTCCCACCTCAAGTGCAATCTCTCACTCTCTCTCTAAAATAAGAACAACAACAAAACAATAGCCAAGATATGGAAGCAACCTAAGTGCTCACTGATAGATGAGTGGATAAAGAAGATGTGGACATATGTACAATGGAATGTTATTCAGCCATAGAAAGAATTAAATCTTGCCATCTGTGATAACATGGATGGACCTTGAGGGTAAGTGCAAAGTGAAATAAGTTAGAGAAAGACGAACATCATACGATTTCACTTATATGTGGAACCCAAAACAAAACACAACAGAACAAATGAATAAGCAAACAAAACAGAACCAGATTCACAAATACAGAGAAAAAGCTGGTGGTTGTGAGTGGGAATGGGGAGGATAGGCAAAATAGGTGAAGGGTTTTAAGAGTTACAAACTTCCAGTTATAAATGAATGAGAGGGATGGAAAGTTCCAGGGGAATATAGTCAATAATATTGTATGATGGCAGTTGATACTGTATTTATTGTGGTAAGCATTTTGCAACATGTATAATTGTCAAATCACTGTGCTATATACCTGAAACTAACACAGTATTGTATGTCAACTGTACTTCAATGAAAAAATTTTAAAATGCATAATCCTCTGCACTTGAGTGTGATGAGCCTAGATCTGGGCCTGTGCCTTCGGGTGGTCAAAGAGAGTAAGGACACATGACCAGTGGTGACATTCTCAGCATGCAGATAGCTCAGTGTCTAGTGTGATTTATATGTTGGGAAGCACATCTTCCTCTGGAGACTAGCGCTCTGATGCCCGCATCTGGGCAATCCTTGGCTGCCAGTGCATTGAAAGGCCTTTCTTACCTGGCGTGGATACCTTGCTCATCACTCGGGGGAGCAGATGGGGTTTCCTAGTTCCTGGACAGACTACACTCAGGAAGAAGTGCAGGTTAAAAACCAGGCATAGAAAGCTAACTATACTAGAGCCTAGTCCTAGAGCAGAGGTGATAGGATGGGGAGAGGAGGTACTTTTCTAAAAATACTTGAATGTTTTATTTAAAAATTTTCCATGTTTTTAATGCTTATCACAAGAAGAGATCAAAGCTCTCATCTCTGAGGTTTTGTTGTTTATCCCGACGCAGGGAACAGCTTAAGAAATATACAGGGGCAAAGAATTAGATGCATTTTGTAGACTTTATGTTTTGGCTAAGTATTAGGAAATATATGGAGAAACCATTTCAGAAAAGGAGTTGAGGGGAAAAAAGCACACATACCGAAGACAGCTTTTGTCCCATAGAATTTTGAGCCTGTGTTCTGCGCTCTTGAAGCCATCAGGCAGGTTTGACTTCTAAGGCCTCTTGTTCTCCTCTTTGGAAAACTGAAGGGTGGTTTCCAGCTTTAAATCATTCTCTCTCCCTCTACTTCTGAGCCCTATCTTCCACCCACTATCCTCTC